CCACCTTGACCACCTTGAGCACAGGGCTGATTACCAGGATACTGTTGACCTCCTTGGCCACCTTGACCACCTTGAGCACAGGGCTGATTACCAGGATACTGTTGACCTCCTTGGCCACCTTGAGCACAGGGCTGATTACCAGGATATTGCTGACCTCCTTGACCACCTTGACCACCTTGAGCACAGGGCTGATTACCAGAATATTGCTGAGCTCCTTGACCACCTTGACCACCTTGAGCACAGGGCTGATTACCAGAATACTGTTGACCTCCTTGACCACCTTGAGCACCTTGTCCACCTTGTCCACAGTTGGCCTTAGCACCTTGACCTGATCGTGCAGATTGACCATATTGACTCGACTGACCTCCTTGACCTTGACAACCTTGACCGCCTGGACCACCTTGTCCAGCTTGTGCAGCTTGACCACCTTGACCACTTTGACCACAGTTACCCTGAGCACCCTGACCTGATCGAGGTGATTGACCACCATATTGACCCGACTGACCCCCTTGACCACCTTGACCACAGGGCTGATTGGCAGCATATTGCTGACCACCTTGACCACCTTGAGCACCTTGTCCACCTTGTCCACCTTGACCACAGGGACCACCCTGAGCACCTTGGCCAGATCGAGCCGCTTGACCACATTCTGTACAGGGTTGATCAGAAGCATATTGCTGAGCAGGAGGAGCAGAGCGAGGCGGGGACTGAGCTGCTGGAGGTTGAGCATCCTGATAGCATGATGTACACTGTGGTTCAGCAGAATATCGCCTATTGCCCGGCTGAAGATCACCACCATCCGATCCACACATTCCGCAATTGCCACTCTGATCGTAGTTTGCCACATTTGCAGAATCGTCGGGGCCACATGGACAGTGGACGTCGTCGGCAAATGGTCTAGGCTGTTGTTGGCCATTTCTCTGATCGTAGGGATTTTGTTGGGATGGGGGCAATTGGCCAGTCTCACTTGTGGCAAAGCTGGCGATATCTTGAACCATCATTGCCGCGCCGCAGCACATCTGAGACTCATCATATTGCATATTCTGTTCGCCACACATCTTGGCGTACTCATCGGCATCTGCTGCCGCCTTCTTTTCCAAGTACGCATCGCTCGTTATGGGACAGTCCTGCAGGGCCGATGCCATATTATCGCTGCCGCAGTTGCAGTCGGCGTCAGCGTCGCCGTTGCCGCTGTTTGAAGTCAACTGGCAGCCGTACCTGACCAGCAGTTCGATCAGAACTCCGTTTGTCCAGCCGTAGCCGGTATGGTTCTGTCCATCCGGACTGCCAACGCCCAAACCGGATTCCTCGCAATTGTACTGCAGGAGTAGGGGAAAAACCGGTTAGATTGCTAGACGACCCACACAGCGATCAGCTTACCTTTTCGAACATGAAATTCGTCTTGGTGTAGGCCTCGTAGTTGGAGAGGACCCAGCGCTGTGTCCAACGGCACGCCATATCGGTCGCCTCGGGCGTGCCCAGATTATTGAGGCCGTCGATGAGCATTAGCATCATAGGAGGATAGACGTTCGGATAGTCCCACAATTGGCCAGTGTTGCTCAACGTATGCGGCACACCGCCCGGATAACAGTCCAGCTTATTCTCCTCAATGTAGCACATTACAGACTTGGAGATCTTTTCGGTATCAGCTATGGGGTAGGCGTGCAGCCAGAGCGGCGATAGGTTCGTCACGGCGAAGTAGTCACGCTGCTTTCTATTCTTTATATCATAGTCCAGCCAGACGCCGCGCTCCTCATTCCACAGCACCGCCGTGATGGCCTTGATCAGGCCGCAGGCGGTGGTCCGATATTGCTTCGCCTTGTCGGCACAGCCGGCCAGGGTAAAGAATTCGCCAAGCGTTTTACAATTGCGGAATAGAATGCAGTTCAGCTCGACGGGCACTATCCAGTTGGTCTTGATATTGGCCATGGTGCCCACGTTGTTGCCACTGGAGGAGATGAACCAGCGCGAGCTGAAGGCCTGGCCGGACTCGCAGGCAGCCTTTATGTTTGAGTAGGCGTCCTCCTTTTCCTCGGCAGAGTTGAAGCTAGCGGCTACCGCCTCATCCTCACGGTACGCCTCGGGTCGTGGTCCCGTCGACTTGTCGCGATATTGATACATGGTGCGACCCTCGACCTGAACCGAGTGCTCCTGCAGGAAGGTCTCCATCTCCAATTCGAGCGCCGGCAGATTCTGGATGGCGTATTGCTCGTCCTTGGTAAACTCCACGTAGGACTTGACCATCGGCACCAGCAGCGGGGGCTGGGAGCGTCCCCAGTAGTAGACACGATTGCTGCCGGGCACCATCTTAAATTGCTTCACCAGATACAACAGATTATCAATCATGCCGCGCGCCGTCTGGAACATGCCGCTGAACAGCAGTCCGCGCACAATCCAATAGGTGTCCCAGTAGTAGAACTCAATAAATCGGCCGCTCGGCACGATGAACGGATTCGGCACATAGATAAGCGAGTACATGGCCGGACTGGTCCTCACGCAGTCCTTCATGGTGCGTCCGAGCTGCTTCCAAATGCGATTCAGGTCCATGGCAAACTTCTTCAGGGCCGGATCATTGATCTTCTCCACGAATTTCGGCTCACAGCGATAATCTGGCGGACACCAATACTCCAGCTCGGTGCCGGGCTGATCGAAGTGATTGTCCACGAAATTGGTGAGATGCTTCACCGACGACTCGTTCTTCTTGCACGAGCTAAACAGCTGGTAGTCGGCAAGGATACGCTCTGGGGAGTATCGACAGGTCATGTCGACAAAGTACTTGCTATCCCTATACAAATTGGACATCTGCACCGCTCGCAACAGTGGTCCACCACAATAGACGGCACTGCACACACATATTTATATTTATATTTATTTTTTTATGCATTTTGTATATATCTTCATTTTTTGTTATGGACTGCAATTAGCAGTTCTTCAATTGGTACTCACCCATTGGCACCGGCGACGTGCGTTTGCCCACATTCATTGCATTTGCGAGCATTCGGCATTTTGAGAAATTAATTTTGTGTGTGTGGAGCCTGCGAAGCGAAATGACAAACTGTTTTAACCCTACTACGGCCTAGCTTACAGCATGAGGCAACTAAAATAACAATACTAATGTTTTGATATATATTGCAAAGACTTGTAGGCTTGCTAGAGTTGAAACGCTCGCTAGGATTTTCTATAAATCAAAAGTCAAAAGTCCATTATATTGACCATTAAAACAAATTTGTCGACATTTGCCATTAAGAGTCAACAATGCTCCCCGCCATAAATCAGCGTAAATAGACAGGAAGCGCCTTAAAATCTGCTACACAAATGTGCCCCAGTTCCCCCTGGTCCCTGGCTCCTGCCTCCTGCCTCCTGCCCTATACACATTTATTCGAAATTACCATAAATGTTTTGGTTCACAAAACCATCGTCCAGCTACCCTCCCGCCGGCGCTAAAGGCGTTTGCCTAAAAGCTATTGGCCTCTTGTCCATTTGTAATTTCCAGACAATTTATCAAACATGCCGACTGCCAGGCGAAAGGCAAAACGCAAGAAAAAGACAGAAACGAACAGAGAAACAGAGAGAGGGGAAAACACACAGAATTGAAATGGCGCAGAAAATGCGCTTCAAGTGGCCTCAGCGTCTCAGCGTCTCAGAGTCCTGGGAAAACGAGAGGAAAACTCGATTTCAGAGCCGATGCCATGGCAAGAAATCGACGACCAATGGACAATTGAAATCAGACGCGCTCCACTTCATAAATTTCTACCAAATGCAACGATTTTCGAAGGTAGCCCCACCTTCGCCCAGCAAAAAACTTTCACTTACCCACCCCCCGCCTACCACCCTCCCTCACCCAGCAAAGCCAAAGAGCATTCAAATTAGGCATGTCCGGCATTCGAGTTGTCTGCAAAGTTTCTTAGTAAAATAAAAATTCAATTTGATTTTCACGTTCTCCTTCTTCTCCTACTTCTTCTTCTTCCCTTGCGACTTTAACATTCGAGGCTGGTGTTTGCGCGAGATAAGGCTGAAAGGCTCGTCGACTGCGCCGGCCATTTGCTCGATGCCAATAAAATGCAGTGTATAATTAATGCACAGGCTTCAAAAGTGAGCAATGCAAGCAGCTCATTTACACACGCACATACACTGAGAGAAACGCACTGTTAAGTATGGCAGGTGAGCACGAAAATCTTGGATAAGAAAAAATATGAGTCTTAGATATGATTTATATTATCAAAAAGAAGATGCAAAAGTAAGTAAAGTAGTTGGATTAATGAGGCTTGGCCTCAGAAGTCTGAGATTTCTTATGCCTAGACAGCAGTCCAAGTGGTCTATGAGTAGATCTGGCCTAAAAATCCATTGGTCAAACTGGGAAGTAAGTTCAACTGAGCCGATGCTTCTGACTATCCTATTCATATCCATGCGAAGCTGAATTAAGATCTAACATGCTTTGTCTTGAGATAGCTATAAGCAAAAAGAGTTTGCAAAGGCAAATGCTATGGAGCTTTGGGGTAGTTCCTGCATACACAGTATGTATAAAAATAATAATAATGTATATCATTTCCACAGAGCATAATAGTTCAGTTATATCTAAGTTGTTTGATAAGTAAGTTTGTTTATATGTAGAAACAAAAATACTCATATAAATTAATTTTCAGATTAACAATGGACTAAACAGTGCAAGGCTTCAAATTCTTCCGTTTAAATAATAAACTTAAATATACTTGCAATTTTTCCTAGTATTTTTGGCCAGTGTAGCCATTCAGTGGACTGCATGTTGACACTTGGCGCGAGGCATTGATCAACTTAACGAGCCGCAGCAGTAGCAGCAGCAGCAGGAGCAGCAGGAGCAGGAGCAGCAGGAGCAGCGAGTCAGAGTCAGAGTCAGTCAGCGACTGCAGTTAATTGAGTATTCTACTTTTAAGTGGCGCCTCGGAACTGCGGCAGTCAGTTGCAAGCGACACACTTCAGCTGCGTGTTGCTTGTGGCTGTGGCAGCCAGTCTACATGTGTGTGTGTGTGTGTGTGTGTGGTCACTTGGGCAGTGCAAAAGCATGCATTAATCAATAAGTTGCCATAAATTAATTAAAAATAAAAAATGTAAAAATATAGACAAGCAAACTGCTTTAATTAAACTCGCCAAAAAGAAGCAAAACAAACACAAACACATATAAAATTAAAAATAAAAATAAAAATGTGAATGCATCTCGAGGTGAGCTGCTCGACTCAGCGACTCGCATGCGTCTCTATTGGCTTTAAGCAAGAGCTATCAATCAAAAAACTGCAGCTGCCTTAGGGTCGGAATCTCGGACTGAATCACGTAACGCCATGCCAGGGCGCATGATAAATTGTCAACACGCTGACGTTTGTCTGCAGCGATTTAAAAACTACTTAAAATGTAAATGTTGTTTCGCAGTTGTGCGTTGTTGTTGTTGTTGTTGTTGTTCTTGTTGTTGTTGTGTGGGTGAGTGGTTGGGTGGTTGGGTGATAGGGTTGGTTCGCTGGGCTGTTTGGCTTTTATGCACACGTCGCAGCGCAGACTGCGAAAAATCATGTTGTTGACTTTGAAAAAAATATGTGTGCAAAAAATGCGCTATTGTAAATAACGGCACATAAACACGCAGACCGACTGCCTGACACTGAGACTTCCAGCTGACTGAGAGACGGAGAGATTGACGCAGTGAGAGACTGCCTGACTGACTGAGAGACTGATGACAGGGCATTGTCAACAGTCAGCAGTATGGCAGCAACAATCGACACACACACACACACACACACGTACGTAGTCTGCTGCGAACTACTATGCCTGTGTGTGTGTGTGCTACGCCTTTTTTTCGTTGTTAACAAATACATTACATTTGAAGTGTTAAGCTTGCACTTGGCATTCACTCAGTTTGCTGTTTGTCTCAGCACTTGGCAGGACTCACCTGTCATGTATGCACATATATATATGTATACATATATGCGACTGCAACAGCAGTGACGGCGGAGAGAGCGGAGACAGAGACAGAGACAGCAGCATTGCAA